CTGGGTGACAGAGGGAGACTCCGTCTCAAAAAAAAAAAAAAAGAAAAAAAAGAAAAAGGTACAAACATACAGTAAGATAGAAGGAACAAATTCAATGCTTGATAGCTGAGTAGGGTGACGATACTTAATAAAAATGTACTGTACTCTGGTGATGGATACTTTAAATACCCTGACTTGATCACTGCATTATACATGTAACAAAACTTCTCATGTACCCCATACATTTGTACACATCAAAAAAATACTTGTTTGCATTACAGAAATTTCACTGGTTAATGAGAGTACATGGGGTCATCTAAAGTAAAACAATTTTTTTTGCTTTGTTTTGTTGTTTGGCTTGCTTTGCATTTTCATACCAATTTAATTACATACATATACATGGTGTTTATAAAAAATAAAATGTACTGGATTGAAGGGGAGCACAGTTAGACTCACTGTAATTTTTGTGGGGATTTTAGATTGTAGGAGTTTGATATTTGTAGAAATTTTTTTATATATTGAGTTGGGGTCTATGTTTTCCAGGTTGGTCTCGAACTCCTGAGCTCAAGTGATCCACCCATCTCAGCCTCCCAAAGTGCTAGGATTACAGGCATGAGCCACTGCGCCCAGCCCAAATCTCAGATTCTTATTCCATAAAATGAAGAATTACAGAGAATTTCTAAGGTGTCTTATGGAAAGAAGAACTTTGTAAAAGTAGTCCAGCTAAGCTTTTTGAGCATTTCCTGAATGGCAGCCACTAGTTCTACAGTGGGGAATGGAGTGAGAGTCTGAGCCACCAAGAGATGAAGTGTCCCCCCGCAGAGGTAATGGTCAAACAATAATGACATCCCAAATAAGGGATTTTAGCTACTCTCCAAGGCCCAGAGGCTAGAAAAAGGGAGAAGATTTTCTTTTTCTAATTAATTAACCAGCTATATGAGATATATTATTGGGAGTTGACTATGATTCTGAGTTTTAGTCATGTGTTAGGAAGGAGGTATTATATTTTGTCTTGATGAGTACATTTAAATATATACATGCCGAACAGTAAATTTCACCTGAGGTGTTTGTGTTGGGTACACTGATCCAGGTGTGCCAGCTGTCATTATGCAATAGACACCTAGGTAAAAACATTTACTGTTCCCCAATTATGGCACCCACATATCTCAGCTGCCTTTCAGCTGGGCAGGCCATGTGACTGACTTTGGCCAGTCATCAGCCAGGAGGCTGAGGTGGGAGAATTGCTTGAGCCTGGGATATCAAGGCTGCAATCCGTGGTGAGTAGATATGATTGTGTCAAAGTCTTGACTAAACATACAAAAAGGTTGTGAGTTATCTGCACTCTATTCTTCAGCGGCACAGTGGAGGCCCTCTTTTTTTTCATGTGGCAGCCACAAGATGATGGGGCCTGAGTTCTTTAGTGGCTGTGTAGTGCAAACCTCCTACTGACTCTCAGTGGACATAAAACATAAGAAATAAACATAGTTGTATTAATACATTGAGATTTTGGAGTTCTGTGTTACTGCATCATAGCCCAACTCCTCTTGAGGAAATGTAGCTGCACCTGTCACTGGGGTGGAGATCAGATCCCTAGAGTCTGTCACCTTTGGAAGCGGACCATGGCTTAGAGAAAACAAGTTTCTTCATGCATGGATGCTTAAAGTATAATGAGAATGGGGATGGGGTTATAGAGCATTACCTCTGGTTTCACATCAATCATGGCTAGTTACTCCTTGGGCAGTTTGTTGGAATGGTTGTGTGAGAAAATAAGCAAAATTTCTCATGCATTTTTTAAATCTATGGGAATGATTCATGTGCCCCATGTCTACTATTGAGGCCTAGTCACAGATGTAATTATTATCATTACTATGGGGCACATCTTAATAACAAGTCAATTGTAAACAAAAGTATACCTGGTGCCAAGTGTGGTGGCTTGTGCCTAGAATTCCAGCAACTCAGGAGGCTGAGGCAGGAGGATGGCTTGAGGCCAGGAGCTGGAAACTAGCTTGCGCAACATAATGAGGTTGCATCTCTACAAAAAGTAAAAAAAAAATTGTCAGGCACGATGGTTTATACCTATATAGAAAGAAACGTGGCTGGCCACTCTGGCTCACACCTGTAATCCTAGCACTTTAAGAGACTGAAACAGAAGGACTGCTTGAGTCCAGGAGTTTGAGGCAAGCCTGGGCAACATAGTGAGACCCCATTTCTATAAAAAATAAAAAATTTAGCTTGGTGTGGTGGTACACACCTGTAGTCCCAGCTACTCAGGAGGCTGGGGTGGGAGGACTACTTGAGGCTGGGAGATCAAGGCTGCAATAGCCATAATTGTGCCACTGCACTCAGCCTGGGTGACAGAGTGAGACCCTGTCTTAGAATAAAAAAAGAAAAATAAAGCCCTTTTCTTTATAAATTACCCAGTCTCAGGTATAGAAACATAAAACAAATTAAGACAGTAGATGAACGCCCCAGCCCCCAACCTGCAGCAGAGCAATTCTGAGATGCCTTCCACACAGTTTCTCAGAGAGTACTCAGAGCAGTTGAGCTCCCATTTCCCACTGTGGGCATCTTCTCATTAATGTACCCTCTTTTTTTTTTTTTTTTTTTTTTTTTGGAGACAGGGTCCCGCTCTGTCACCTAAGCTGGAGTGTAGTGGTATGAGGACAGCTCACTGCAGCCTTGATCTCCCAGGCTCAAGCGACCCCTCCAGCTCAGCCTCCTCAGTAGCTGGGACTACAGGTACACACCATGACACCTGGCTAAGTTTCTTTTATTTTTGTAGAAACAGGGTCTTGCTATCTTGCCAGGGCTGGTCTTGAACTCGTGGGCTCAATCAATCCTCCCACCTTGGCCTCCCAAAGTGCTGGGATTACAGGTGTGAGGCACTGTGCCCAGTTCTTTCTTAACCTTTCTATCTTTTCTATCTCGTTTTTGCACCCCCACCCCCACCCCACATGTGCTTCCTGGGATCAACTCACAAACCACTTGGACTCAAGTCTTTGTCTCAGGATCTCTATTATTCAAGGTTCCCCAAAGACACAGACCTGTAGGATATATATATGTGTGTGTGTATATATATGATATATATTGGTTCATGTGATTATGGAGACCAGCAAGTCCAAAATCTGCAGGGCCAACGTCCTGGTCCAAAGGTTGTCAGGCAGAAAGAGCTGATGTGCCAGTCGAAAGGCCATTGGGCAGGAGAATTCTCTCTTCCTTGGGGAAGGATTTTATTTTATTTCTGCCTTCAAGTGATTAGATGAGGCCCACCCACATCCTAAACGGCAATCAGCTTTATTCAATATACCAATTTAAATGTTACTCTCATGTAAAAACACCCTCACAGAAACACTCAGAATACTATTTGGCCAAATATCTGGGCACCCCATAGCCCAGTAAAGTTGACAAATAAAATTAACCCTCACAGACACCAAGTGTAGTTCATCATTTTGGAAATATTCGACTTACATGCTCACTGATTTCTTGTTCACATTCCAGTGTATAAAATTCTGGTCCCCATTAAGGAGACACTCCAGTTCTCAGGGAAAACCAGACTTGGCATTGCCGTCCATGAGTATGAGACAGGAAGAGCTGTGGTCCAGGACGGAACGAAAGTCATACTGCACATACCAGGTGTTCGATACATGCTCAGCAATTCAGGTGCGCGTTCTCTCTCTCTCTCTGGAGTAGACACTTACTTCAACTAACGGGAGGCTGGCCAGTTGTTTTACCACCTATCCTGCTTTTCCCAGCTCTTGTGTGGGCCCCAAAGCCCCCAGCAGTAGATGGCCCCAACTGCTGTCGCTGTCCCTGGTGCTGACCAAACGCTAACGCTTCTGCGTTGCGGCCTTAGGGCCACTGGTGGTGCCCAGTTATTCTTTTATTTTCCTTTTGTTCTTTTCTTTTCCTCTCTTTGTTGCTGCCCTTATTGCTGCCCAAATATTCTTTTCTATCTCTTTCTCTTTCTTGTCTCTCTCTCTTTCTTTCTTTCTTTTCTTTCTCTCTCTTTCTCTCTTTCTCTCTTTTTCCTCCAGAAAATGCTGCAGATTGAGTGTGATTTTGAAGCATAGACTAGACTTCGAGAGCCAAAACGTGACATTTTGGCTCTCTGTACATCCCCATTCACACTGAAGAATCAACACTTACTTGCTGATCAATATTCCTAGAACTGGTGGCACAGCCAGGACCTACGCTGATGCTTACCTCCCCCTCTCCTGCCGCAGAGACGCCCCCGCCCCTGTGGCCCAGGGAAGTGCCAGGGGTCCCTGGGGAGGGCGGGAGATGGGGAAGGGGCAGGGTGAGCGAAGAGGAGCAGGCTGCGTCTGCACGCAGGCTGGGAAGCGGGGCTTCCGGGCTGCAGGGTCGCGGGGACGGGTGTGATGTAATCGCGCCACAGCCGCTGCGTCAAGGGGCGGCTCCGGGATGCGGG